AGTAAAAGTGCGCAACCGATGCTATCATAGGGGGAAGCACATCAAGAAGCTTAAGAGAGAAAGCCATTTTAACCCTTTATAAATAAATAGATAGAAACTACGACTAAAGCCTTGCTTTTGTATTAAGCCATATGGTAATGAGGCATTTGTTGGGAATTACTTACCTGTTCTTTAGAAAGACCTGGAATGTTCTTCAAATCCTTAAATTTTTCATTAGAACAATAGGCAACTTCTTCGTATTCGAAAGGTACACCGGAAAACCGCAGAACTTGAATATCGCGTATACGTCGGTCGTAAACGTTTGAATTCATCAAATAGGACTGGCACCTGGCGATTCCCAAATGCTTAGGGAGAGTTTGTTGGTAAAGTGAACCATTGGCTTTTCGGAAAATTCTCCGACTTTTCATATCACTACTGCTCCTTGAGGACTCCGCCTCATCTCCGATCTTACCATCCTCTAGCAGACCATTAGCCCAATGACCATTCAAGAATTTTCTTTTTTTTGAACCTTTTATGTTGACATTTTGCAAAGGCAAAGCTTCGTTCTTTATTGATTCAGACTGCTTAAACGTATCTGAGGAGCAACCTTTAGAACACCCCAAAAAGTGAGTAAAAAGGTCGTTTGCATTAGTTTCGTTTTCACTTGTTAAACCAGATAAACAATCGTGATAACTTGTCATAGAAAGTGACGGCTGAGAAAGAGTGAGCATATTTCGGTTCGAGATGCCAAAATCTGATGGAAAAGGGGACCAACTATCGAATAATCCGCAAGAACTTTCCATATCTACATTTTCTTCTTTAGTTATTAGTTGAGCTGGCAATTGAGATGCGTCTCGAATGTACGATACGTCAGCAAGCGACTAAAGATTGTATGGAGGAAAAGAAAAGTGAGCGAATGTGTAAAAATAAAATACATAGTGAATCTGATCAAGGTCTTCTGGAAAAAGTCTAAGCCTGCGCATCCATGGTTAGTGTAAAATGAGATAAAAATAAGTACATAGACATACGTTTGAAGTGTCTGGGAATTCTTCAGCTATCTTATTTCCATCAGATTCAATCTTGCAAAAGTTGACAAACTTCTGCTTTGGTATATAAGGGCTATTTACCAAAAAAGCACCTACCGACAAGTTTTGATAGACGTCTAATTCTGGATACTATTTTTTTTAAATCAAGCAATATCTTACGAGTTCATTTAGAAGAACGTTAACTCTGATCCGCATCTGAAAATGTTGCGACAAATGGTGATTCTTAATTGAAGCGGCCGAACGTTCTTTCAACCTTAGCACGCGGCATATTTGTGAATATATAGCTAATTTCATTGTGGTTTCATAAAGTAATCGAACAAAAAAATGTATCACGAAGCAATGTAGGAAAGACTCGCAGGCGAGCATGACGGGAGGAGGGCGGCGCTTTGGGGGAGTTGCCGCCCAAGCAGGCTGCTAGCGCTAAAATTAGTTATACACAAAAAATGTATTACATTGCTTAAAAGAGCAAAAATATGCCATCATAGCATCTATTTTTCTAAATAAACATGCATTGTTTTATTCATTCAAAGAGATGAGACTAAGGGGAAAAGTCCACCCTGAATTGGAATACTTTTTGAAAATAAAAAGCGCGTGCAATTCAATAGAATGTAAGGTTTACTCTTATCTTTGAGAGAACATTCAACTACCAGTCATTCATCATCATAAACGAAATATGCTCAATACATCCTATTATATGCCCTACTGACAGTCTCGAAAACCTACTTATAAACGAAAAATATACTTAGATTGCTTAGTCTGGGATCGATTTGATTTTTCTGATCAGATGATACCAGATTACATCATATCATAATAGATCGGGTTATGTGAAATTATATTTGTTTAGATATTATCTGCATGATCTTGAAGATATTTTCTTCCAAGGCTCAGGCATAGAAACTCTTGAGCTTTGGCTTTGATTGTATATGCGAAACAGTAGCAAGATATTATTTTCGGCGAAAATGATATAGTGTGGGTCTGCATTAAGATATGTGGATTCCCAGGATTATGTCAGACAGGGAAAAAGTTACAGAGTATATGAATTCACAATAGACGAATAACGAATATTCCTGATACAATAAAGCTTTTAATGACCTATGAGAGATAATGGGGCCTCAGAATGGGGAGGCATGCCTGCGAATGAGCAAAGTCTATGCTTTATCAAGCTATGTATTGACTTAGGTCTACCGAGATCTTCTTCCTATAAGATTTTGTCAGGATTCATGATAACTAGCTCTATGATGCTTCTCTCATGACACTTTATAGTACCTTGTTATGAGCAAAATCGACTCATCAATTAATAGGATCGCCTTAGCCATTATAAATCCGAATTTAAGTAAATAACAGCTGGACGTAATCACCAATATTATAACTCTTTAAACTTGACCAAGTTAACTTTTACATTAACGCTGCTCTATTAAAGAGAGCCATGAGGTATATCAAAGAAAAGCCAGATATTCGTACATATATATCGCCATCCGAAATAAGTAATACTTGTTGGCACTCGGATGAGTGATATTTTTCAAGAGGCTTAGATAAAAATCTTGTGGAATAATTCACATCTAGGCGGAAAATCAACATCAATGGGAGCAGCAAAATAGTTTATTACAAATAACTTAGAAAATTTAGGCTCTCAAAATAAATGGTGCCTGATCTGAGGGTATTCATTCAATAATATATAATTTTACAAAAAATAAGACAATACATCGGTAAAAAGAATTTGACACTTACAAATCCTATGTAAACCCATAGAACTTCGCACAAACTAAATTAACATCACTTAATTAATCTTGTAATAACGTATATTTATTACATGTACATATAGATGTGCTATGTTGTCACTATGGTCAGGGCCAATCGTTATAAAATAAATTTGAAACGTCAATTTGGATCTAGCCCCCCCCCCTAGTTGATATTAATAATTAGGTTTCTGAGACTTCCCTTATTTTAACATCATGATAATCAATACGATTTTCAGCCCGATGTGCATTATATAATAAGTCCCTCACATTACTGCATTATATAGGTAGGGTTGATGTCGCCTAACAAAAACCAATCACCATGAATAATTCAGATTTTAGTGATATTTCTCTTGCGCAACGTTATTACTTAAAGTAAAGGAAATAATTGCATTTTCTTATCATGAACATTCAACTATTGAATTATGAATATTAAAGGGAAAGCATTTATAGAAAATGGTGAATGAAGTTTGATTC